TCCCTACATTTTGGTTTTACAGTTTTAATCTTGAAATATGTCCTGTGTTTTTCTGAAAAAAACTGTGTTTAACCACTTTTCTTTCCACCTGGAGATGCATCAGGATTATAACCTTTGAAAGACATTCCCAGCCATTACAGAGTAAACACAGGTCGCCGAGGCTGACATGTTGCAGTGCAGAGAGTAGCAAGCAACACCTAAATTCTAAACATCTCCTCGTTTCAGTCTAGACATATCAAAAGTGATGTGCAGTCCTGTATCCAGAGCCTAAAAAATGGTAACAAACATTGTCACCTGGCCTCATTTCTGCCTCCCGTTACCATGCAAGCATTAGAACATCTTCCCCAATGTGCCTCCAGTCCTCCTTCCACTCCTGCTGGGTCTTGTAACTCAACACTCTGCAGAATAAGGTTCATTTTTAACAACAACAGCTCAAGAAAAATGGATAAAAGTAACTCACAACTAAGTCAACTTCCTGCCCCCAAACTCCACCACTCCTAAGGGCTATCCTTCAACTCAATGTGCTAGAAGAGTCCTAAAGAGCTTTTTCACTACCTTTTCTCCATTAATCTCCCAGTTTTAATCAGCAAGCACCAACCCGCCACGCAGAAATTACTCTGATGGCATTTCCATCCAAAATTGGAAGAAGCTATTGTGCACCATTCATAAGACAGACCTTTCCTAGCTCAGCTATGCAGGTCTGACCCCACACCCCTGTCTCCAAAGAGCAGTCCCTAACTGCCCGTATCATGTTCAGCCAAAACTTACTGCTCTTACATATCCTGAACAGCACTTTACTTCACCAGTTTAACTGCTAAAAGCATGACTTCTCACTGGGATTAAAGCTGCTGCAACCTGGCCCACTGCTGAGTGAGCTTGTCCTGGGTACTGCAAGGACACTGATACTTGCCCACACTGAGATGCTGATAATTTCGTGCTTGTTTTCCTCATTTTCCCTAATGGATGTCAGCAAGATCCTTCTCAGAAGTGGACAACAGTAACAGAGGTGAATAGATGATTAACATCATTAAAATATTCATGACAACTCATAGTCTGTCCTGCTAATATCTTTCTCTGCACCATCATTGGAAATCATACTATATATATATATAAAAAAAAAAAGGTTTGCAGTTATACACAGAGAAATAAACTCTGCTGTTCATAGACAGCATTGTCAGATTGAAATATGACAGACAACTGGAACACGCTTGGAACCAAAGTGCGATTCAAGTGCTCACTATTATCCCCAGTAGACTGGCGTGTATGAGTGCACGCACAGTGTGTGCACGCACGTGCGTGTGCGTGCATGTGTGTATGTGGTTCCGGTTTTGTTTTAAACATATCTTCTTTTACTAAACATTAAATTATTTCCCAAGAAATAAAAAGCTATGTACATTGTAATTATCTACAGTAGGCCTTCGGCATCCTCGCTATTCACATGCACGGGGTTTGGGCTGCATTCATAAACTCAGGCACGCTCCTTCATTGCTTGTGGTGCTGTCCCCTCCAGCCAATCTACAGTCCAAAGAACACTGATGTGTGTGTTTGCTCTGATTTGTTTTTTTTTCCTTTCTCAGCAGTCAACAGTGCCAGAGGGTGACTGAAATTTAAAGCAATTAAAAGAGGCAAGATCCTGCAAAAAGCCAAGACATGCATGTCACTGGAAAGTGAGGGCTGCTGCCATGTTGCAGAGCCTGGTCCAACAACCCAACCCAAGCCCTCTGTCAGAACAAAGTAGCTGATTCATGACTTATTTTGAAAAGGGCTGAAAAGGGACAATTTACCTATAACATGTTGCCTAAGGTACTATACCTACCCGTTGGATTTGAATATTTAATTCCCATTCTGTACTTAACAGAACGCTGGCATTCAAATCCCATTGCACATTTGACTCATTCTTTGTTTTTCCTTTCTAATCTCATAAGTATTTCCTAAATATGAAGAACCCCTGCTATTTATGAATGCAGCCTGGTAAACAGAAAATGCCCACCCCATCCCCTCCCAAATGATAATAATGACATATAACGCTTTCTTTTTCTCATAATAATAATAATAATTATACCAATAATAATTACAAATAAAAAGTCAGAAATATTGTAGACCGAGCGGATTCTCAGTATTAAACACTAGTGCAGTTGGGGATTTCCTTTGTGCTTTCACTGTTGGCAATTGTTGAGATGCTTCCTGTGGAGAAGAAAATGGAGAAGAGAGTCAGTGCAGTGCCTTCAACAGTTTGCTCTATACTGCTTCTCACTCCTTCTTAGGATGTGTTTGTGTAGGTGTAAAGACAGAAAAGGTGCTTAAAAGTAACACATCCTCTTTTGTCTTTGCAATAAGCATGGAGCATGCAGAAAACCTGTTACTACAGCCCAGTTGACCATCAGTAAACTCATTAAGCTGTCAGGCACCTATTCACTTGTCATGATAGCATACCAACAGTGTAATCTTGGCTCAGCTGATTCTTCTGAGGGTTCAGAGAATTTGGGACCCCTCCATAGGACAGACAGCATCATGAGCAGGAATAAGTGTAAGCCACAGCCATTACTAACTGCTGTATACCTATTGCTGTTTCCAGGTTCCTACCCTGGTCATGTAAGACTGTGAGAAAAGCTAAAAAACTGTAAGGAAAACTCCCTGTTACCAGGTTTCAGAGAGATTAGCTCCCTGTCTCAGTGCCTTAGGCTCTGCTTGTACCTGGGGCCATGGTCACTGCCTCTCCTAATACCCCAGTGACTAACATCCTGACCCAAACTGTGAAACAAGCTCCAGCTGAGGGCTGTCTCTCACCCATCACTCGTGTGTCCAGCTCTTTGTCCATCAGCTCCTCAGGGTCTGTGAACTCACTCAGAGTGATTTTGGGGGCATTTTCGCTTTGGCTGACAGAGCCAATCATCTCCTGCTCCTTATCATGCTGAACTTGGGCATAGATGTTAATCCAAGGGATTTTCCTGTGCAAGAAAGGAAAATGAGAGGTTATATTTTGTAATGCAGGGATCCTTGGCACATCATTGACTATCAGATCAACTAAACCGAGACCAATCCCAGAAATGCAGCACTGGCAGTGATGCCAAATATCAGTTCTCAGAATGGTGAAAGCACCACAGTGGTGTTCAGCTCTGAAAGTGTCATTAGCATCCACTAATTCCAACACCAGCCTAAAGCTACCTCAAATCTCAGACCACTACCTTCCTGTCCTGTGCCCAAAGGCTCCTCCAGCTGTAAATCTAAATGTTTTGGTTCTGCCCTTTTAAATTAGAAGTCGTGCACACAGTGGACACTGCACCCAGCTCAGAGAGCAGCAATCAACAAAGTACAATCAGCTGCAATTGCAACACTCTCAGTATTTATTATATGATCAGTGGTGCATTGGAAACCAAAAGTAAAAATCAATTTGAGCACTACTATCAACTGATAAAAAAATTGCTAGGCTTGTTTCTATTGAAAGGCCCACATCGACTCAGTGGGTATTGCCACATCTGAAAGAGTTATGAAGAATTGGTCCCACATCAAGCTACAGAAAGGACTTGGGCCTCATAACACCCACCCAAAGTCTGTTTGTTACCATTTCATTGCAAAAACAGTTTGCCATGCTATGGATCATGCAGGTTTGCAGGGACTTATTTTCCCTTGCTGCTCAGGAAGCCAAGAAAGTGAAGGGATTACTTCTTCGTCCTTCTCCCAAGAGAAGTTAACCTGTACTGCTAGAAAAAGATCCTTGAAAGTCAGTTAGTCAGACAGATAGTTAGATAAGCTTACATAGACAGTTGGATAGTAATCCCTGGAGGAACACAAGTTTAAAATGAGAGAACTGAAAAGTAACGTGTTAAGCACCGTGGGGGTTGCTAGGATTATCTGTGCGTAGTTGCCTGTTGGAAGGGGACTGACTATTTTTTCTAACGCCTTTAAAAGGACCCTGGTGCTGTGCAGCCCGCACCACTAAAATAATACAAATTCAGAGAATATTTTTCAGTTCCTTAAAGCACACAGGAGAGAGAAAGAAGATGTGTTCACAAGAGGCTATATAAAATGCCATCTCTTTATGGTAACCTGTCTGCTGTTGGATATGTCAGAGATTGAGAGCAGTGGAAATTGCCTCCGCTCTCAGGAATTAAATAGATCTATGCTGACTTTACTCCAGTGAAGCTCTGGCCTCAAATGACCTGTGCTATTGGATTGACTTAGCATTCTGTTCTTAACCAGCAGCAAGTCAGGACATACTTAGGATGCTTAGCAGCAGTTAACAAACCTCATGTTCTTCTCCCTTTCTCCTACTCTCTCTTTCAAACCTTCAGACACGACTTACAGATCTCTAGAAGACAAGCACTATGCAGGGAATGCACGCATTGGATGAGAGAGGATAAATGCATTCCTGTAGGATTTAAGTGCTCAGAAGACACCTGGAGGTGTGTAGAGATGTGGACACGAGAACACGCCTGGAGATATTAGAAGACTTAGTTTTGCTTCCAAGCAACGCAATGGCAGAGAAGTGATGCCTTCTAAGCTTTGAGAGGAAAGGTGAGAAAAGCTCTTTAGAGTTGTGAGGCAGAGAGCCTCCAGGTACTTCAGAGAGTTAGGGAAAAAAGAAACTGAGACAGCTGTACATATGTGCTTCCATCCACAGATACCTAATCCTGCTGTGCCTCCCAGCACGATGTCCCACTGCACTTCTCTGAGCACACGTGCACACACACACTCCTGCACTCCTGTCCCAGGACACAATACATGCTGACCACCCTGTTGCCCCACTATTACTCACCACCATACACATATTAACCTCCTATATGCTCCTCAGTCTCCCAGAAAAGAAACAACCTTTTTGCAGATTCTCTGTTTCCGCCCCTTCCTTCCTCTTCCACCCAGATCTCCTCAACAAGCATCTCTCTGGTAGCAGCGTTTAACATGCCGGCTGAGTCAATAATGTAATGGACTCATAATCAGTAGCCTGTGTGCAAACCAGCAAAGCACCGATTCTATAAAGTTGTAGAATGAAAAATTCATGCAGGCCCATGCTCCCCCTACAACCTTTTGTGTAAGCAGCAGTTCTGTATTCAGGCTGGGATCACCATTAATCAGAAAAGTACATATGGCTAATGGACCCCTGCATCACTGAGAGCTAGAGAAAAGCTTTCAGTTTCACCTCCTTTTTCCATTAAGAATTGTTGCATGTTGTCACTTCTGATCCATTGAGCCAGAGGTTTTAGAAAGACATGAAAAGTTGCTTTCTGTTCTGAAAAATCAAGCTGAGGACACTGGATATCTGACTTAATCCTAAACTTCATCAGTACAACCTCGATTTGTCCTCTCTGAGAAAGAGCAGATAAGAGGGGACAGCAAGTTGATGAGCTTTAGGCTAACCAAACTAGTGCTTTAACTACCTTCCCCCTCACTCACAATTTGTAATACATTCCATTTTCAGACAGATTTTAACAAGGCAGGGTCTACCCAGCCCTGAAGCATAGCACAAGGCTGATGGCTGCTATGCTCAAGGCTCAGGATACTTAAGTAGTACAAGAGTCAGTTTTGTGAGCTGTAGTATCGTAACATGACCTGGAGACTGCCAAAGCAAAGCAGATTACCAAGATCCTCACTGCTCTCTGGCAAGAATATACAGATCCTTCTTCCTGGTAACTGATCGCTGACCACAGAGCCAAAGACATTTGGCCAAACCTAAGCAACCATCTCACCAAGACACAAAGGAAAGCGTGTCTTACAAAGGGTTGTACCTACACATTGACACATCTCCCAGAGAGACTGCTTTGCCCTCCTCATTCTACATCTGTGAGTGAGAGAAATCACCAACTGCTTCCCCAGCACATTATTAAATCAATGCCTTAAACAAATCCCATGTCCCATTCCCCATTCACCGGGGAAGCTGTATTGCACCTCACAGAAGCAGAGAGAGGATTTCAGGTTACAACAAGCAAGTCACATTGAGGGCCTGGGAATCTGCATCGGAGCAGTTTCACACACATGGGTTCTCTGGAAATTGTCCTGGGCCACTGAAGTCAATGAGAGCTTGGTAACAGATCTTGATGTGCACAGGACCAAGCACTAGAAGCAGTGCCACCACTGATTTTGACAATGGTTAATGCAAGAGGTTAGAAATGAGGAGGGCCTTAAATCTGGAGACTAGGATACATGTCTGTCTTATAATTCCATTTTTAATATTGTTTGTATCCCACTACCATTACTAGCCTTATCTTGGGCTGCAGAAAATCAGGAAAGAGAAACATATAGCTGGAATCTGAACAGGAAAAGCTCTAGCTTCCCAATTTGGAGGAACTACTCATGTCCAGATTTTTTGCTTTTTTTTTATAAAGTCAGACTCAGCTTTTGCTTCTAATACAATATTTTGCCATTGGGCAGGATCTGGGCACATAGACCATTTAACAGAGTTAGTACTGTACTGAATGCAAATTTCATCTTAAGGAGCTCCATCTACCTAAAATATATTCTCATAAGGCAAACAGGCAATTCTTATCCTGTATTTTGTTTCACAGCTTGCAGCAGTAAAGTGCCATGGGCCAGCATAGGTCCTGCCTGCTGCCTGGAAGCAAGAGCTTTATATTAACATCTGGCAAAGAAAATCTCAGCACAGATTCCCAAAGACATTTTTTCTGGCTTTGAGTCTCCCACCCTTAACATAATCACACCTGTTCCTCTGCAAGACTAAACTATTTGCTTTGCAAGATATAAATGAAATACTGCTGCACTAAGGCAGTTGGCCAGGTGGATATAGACTGTATGAAGACATCCACCACGTGACTTTTTGACTAAGTCTGCATTGTGTAGCTCAGTACTCAGTGAGCACACAGCGTTCCCACTTCTGGTCTGTGATTCAAACACATCTGCTGAAGCAGGCCACAGCTTGATTTCTGAGCTTTTGGTGAGCACCAAGTTTGTGGTAGAAGGGCAGTAGATGGTCTTCTCTGTATATGTGAGAAACAGTGAACTCTGCTGGTCTAAGTCTTGGGCCAGCATAATTTGCTTTACATCTGCAATCCAGGCACTGCTCTGCCTAGGTTTCCGATAAACCACCCAGTGTCTCCTCCTTCCATCCCCCAAAGTTTCTCAACTTACCTCTTGAATTTGTAGATTAAAAAAACAGCCAAGCCTACAAACACCACAGACAACAACATCAGCATCGCCGAACTGCTATGACCCGTGCTGGAATCAACAAGGGGTGCTGCAGGAGGAAAGGCAGAGCATTACATTTGCAAGACATTATTAGGGAAAACATAACTACTAGAGAGTTGAGCTCAACTCTGTCTTTGCCACATATGCTTTATCATCACTGCATGGTGCATGTTGTTTTCAGCAAGACCAATCAGTAGGAAACAATCTGACTCTCTTATCCTTTGAAAGCCAAGCTGCTTTTTTAAGACAGTGCAGTCTAATATCTCCTAGTGAAAAGGCACACCAAGCCATGCTTAGATGAATAGCTGACCACTCCTCTGTTAACACACTGGGCTATTTCTTTTCAGGATTTTCCAGGGACTGGAGTGGAAACGAAATTTATGAAGTGTGGCTTAATGCATGCTTATTCTCTGCTGGAGAAGCTACCTCAGAGCATCCAAGAACAGTATGACTCTCATCTTCCAGTGACATGTGTCTCTCACATGTGACAGGGATCCAGTCTTGTGAGAAGCCTCAAGGTTCATCCATGTATTGGACCTTACAGACTTTCTAATGGAGTCAGTTTTCATAAAATGGAGGAGCCCAAAGCAATCATCTTGGACCCAAGCACGCACTACATTACAACATTTTGGAGATTTGATCCATCTATCCTTGACATTTTGGATGGGCTAAATAAAGTGCCTTACTATACCTTGTTTATGCAGCTATTCCCACAGCTCATCAGAACAGACCATCTCAATGGCCTGAGCACTGTGCTGAGAATCAAGAGTCTGATGAGAAGTCTCTAATGATGCACAAATGATTATAAGTAGCAGATGAATGTTTCTCACCCTGCATAAATATTTGGTTTGGGTTTTTTACTGTTCTCTCTCCTTTTTCTGTCACCCAGAAGACAGGGACAAAGTCTACACAAATAGAGTCACTTCTCGTTCCATTGCCAAATTTTCACACCTAAGACTCTGATCCTGCCAGCATTCTGTTCCTACTACTTCTACAAATTTTATTGTGGAAAATAATTTATTGTCATTTCACCTGAGACTAAATACTATGGGAATGGTCATGAAACAAATGCAGCAGCCTCACTGGAGTGGGTGCCAGAATAGTCAAGCACTGTAAGCTAAATCCACACTTTGCAATGTCTTATGAGAACATACCCAGATTCTGAACCTGGAGACATTTGGATCTCATTCGCAGTTTTGCAAATTAATTAATTCCACCCTACTCCTATTAACACCTGGCTCTCACCCCCAAACAACAGTCATTACTGCAATGCAAAAAGGCATTACCTGTAGGATAGGTCATGAGCCTTGGTTTAGCCCTCTTGGCTCTCTGAGAGTCTCATGTAAAAAGAAGCTAAACTGTATTATCATGGGACGTGAATCCCAGTCTTTCATAGAGGCTATCAGCAATGTCACATGCACAAGGTACCACACCTCTGATAACTGCAAGGGCAGTCACAAAAAGCAAGGGCAAAAATAAATCATCTCCCCTGTAGTCATCGCTGTCTCCGCAATAGCCGAGAGCTTCACACTAGGCTGGCCAAAATTCTCAGCAGTAGCTGAGAGCTTCACACTAGAGTGGTTTAAAGCAAAGCGGGCGATGAAGCTTAAAGTGACTATTCATTTCTCTGTGTGAAAATGGAGATAGGTAGCATCGAAATTTAAATAAGTTCTGATTTGTAGAAGTCAATATTCAGGCATATAATCCCTGTAAGAGGCCTAGACCTTCTTTTCATGAGTACTTTGCCTCTATAAAACTTCTTGGCTAGTCATAACATTAACAAGCCCTTTGCAATAAGGATTTGATCTAATATCCATGTAAGTTAGTAATACTCACATCGAATTCCACGGGTGCCCAATGAGGGCCTAATAGAACACCATTCACCTGATTTTCTAAAACACTTGAAAAACATCAATGCACTAATTAATTAAGGCACAGGGAATTCTTAAAAGATACTTGTACAAACTGGTGCATGAAGATGCCACTGCTGGATTCTGTTTTTAACAGTTCCTGCTTCTACCACAGACAACGTCTCAGTATCAGTCCTACATATCCCAGTAGCGCATACCAAACTGTGAGTGCTCTGATGTAGACTGGTTCTCCTGGAGCTGTCTGAAGCCTCAAGAGAACCACAGCTATGCATTTGACACCACACTCACCTAATGTTAACTGAGTAACATACACGATGACTTCAACACCAGGCTTCAATTCAAACTGGACCAGGTTCTGGTTGAGAGCATTAAAAAGGATTTCTACCACCTGATGAAATAATAAGAGATACAGTAGTTACAATATAGAAGACAGCAAGCTCTGGAGAACATTCAGGAATGCATGTAGCCTACGAATGGTGATTAACTTCTCTTACCGGCTTCATGAAGAGAAGGGAAGCAAGAGAATGAGGAAGCTGAGAGAAACATGTACATGTGCTTTAGATGGAACCGAGTGTTATTGCAATGCACCTCTCCCTACAGGACTTTTGAGACTCACAGAGTATGTAATTATACCTCTCCTGGAAGCCAACCAAGAAAGTTAGTAATTTTTTATTATAATTATTTTTTGGGACGTGTAGGGGAGGACAAAAAAGAACTAAGGATCTTTTCACCCCCCACAATGTCCTGTGAGCTTGATCTAATGCACTTGGAAATCACTGACACATTGGCCTTTCATTGGTGGATGATGGAACTGAGTTAGCCTAGTAACACTTCCTTTACTCAGATTGATTCAGTCCAATCCTAGTGATGTAGCTCCTATTTAAATAGGCTGTTGGGGATGAGACAATCCAGTTTTCAAGACAAATGGCAAACTTGCCATATTTCTCCTTCATTTAGAAGAGGGGCCTTTGGCTGGGGTTTAGTCATGGCTCAGCAACCCAGCCATGATGTGTTATTAGGTTGCTTCAGAGCACATACTTGGCACGTCACACTGGAGCCTGCGTTTGTTAATGCCTAGTCTCTCTAGACTAGTTCTGATGGTCAGGGCACAGCTACTGAGTAGTTCTGATGGCCGACTCTCCAGGCAGAAGCCAACAACAGGTGCCAAAGTACAACTGAGCAGACTGTCAAATAAAATTAGGGCATTAGAGCTTCAGGCCCCATGGTCAGCTAGTCAGAAACCTAATCTGAGATTTCTGCATAATACCGATACATGAAATATTGACACAACAGATTGTTCACAGGGAATTCTGATACCACTAGATCTTACTGAACAGGATGGAAATGGCTCCAAGAAAATCCCTCCAAAAAGCCTTCCAAACCATCACAATGCATCTCTTCTGCACATTCACCACCATAAATTTAAGATGCCAGCTTTGCTACGTTCCTACTCTGACAGGACTGACTTTGCTCAATGGGTGACAAGTTTCCACAGAATTCAGCAAGCCTCTGAATTATTTAATGTTTGATCACAGAAGTGTTACTCCTCCAAGAGTTACTTGGAGATGGATTCACACATAGCTTGCATGCAGTAAAAATGCTGCATACGAGAACATTAGCTAGAGCGAAGCAGCCTTTCCAGCAGTACTTTCGTCGTTTGCCTTTATAGAGCTGATTTAATCACTTGGTAATTCTAGCATGAAAGCTTCAGCAGACTAGTGCTGTTGTTCCTAGCTCTTCCCTTGCCGGCACATCACTGTTGCTATTCATCACTGTAATTACCTATTTATCTAAATGGATGGATAGTGTAACTTCCAAATATAGTTTGCACACACCATTCGCTGCTGCAGAAAAAAGAGGTCCAGTTCCAGTGATACATGAGCTAAAGAGCCTGACTTATTTTTAGTAAACCTCAGTATATTATTTTGCTGCTTTGGCCTCTGTCTATTAGCATTCCTCCAGGGAGTAGAGGGAGTACACATTCAAGGTTCCTTTGGCCGTAACTACTGCAATAAGGACACACCATTGATCTAGGAAGAACCACTGCTGGTAGATTGTGACATATCTCAGTGAGATGTTAGAAAAGTCCATTTTTCCTCTGAAAATAATTTTCTTTAATGCCATAAACTATACTGCCACAGTCCCAGATGCATCCAATTCCATCACACTGATTGTAAGTCATTTCCAATGCTGCACAAGTTAAGGGCCCCATCTGCAAATGGTATGATAGGAATGAATGTTCCATGAATCCTTTCCTTACTTGCTCCAGATCAGCCTCACTGCTTTTCCTCCTCTCTGTTGTGTTTTTATGAGGCAGTATGAAGAGTTCAGCAGAAGTAGGCAGCCCAGGAAACACAGCTACCAAGATCTGTTCATCAGGGATACCAGTCACCTAAAAGAAAACAAAAAGGAAGCCTCTAGCTGTTATTCTGTTACTGATGTTCCCATTGACTACAGGAAACTGTGCTCCCATCAAATTGTTGTTTGGAAGTTCCACCGCAAGTGTTGTGGTCCTAATGAGCTCTTCTGCCCCTTTGGTGGGTCAGAAATATAGATTCTGCTAATGATTCACTCTACTTCATTTCTAAAGTAAAAGTAGGCTTGACAACACCCCTGGACCCAAAGATCTCAATCCAAAGTCCAAACCTGCTGTGTCTCCAGATCGGTGTTTTCCATATAGTCCTTCTCACTACAAAAGAATGACCCAAAGTCAGATCCAGAGAGTGTGGCTCAGAGTGACCACTGGCAAGTATACAACCAACAGGGACATATGAAGAAAATGGCCTGCAATCACCTTCTAATATCAGATTATGGGGATGCACGTTTGCCATATATTAATAACTTAACATTTCCAGTGGGAGACTTTTTACTTCTGGGGCTAACTGGGAGGGCTGTTCTAGGATCTGCTCAGTTTGCTGAACCAAGAGCCAGTACAACTGTCTTCAACATGATCTGCCCACTGAGGCTACTGCCCTCTCTCCCCAAATCCAGCCTGTGCATCCTCAGTAAGGCAGGAACCTCTCCTCCCTCAGAAGCTCTCGGCTGCATGAGGCTAACCCCATTAGCTCCCTAGTCCGACCCCACTTCAAGCTCCTTGGCCTCATTCCTGAACTGAAATGTATCAGTGGGGCTGCCCATTCCTGGTGATCCATCCTACAAGCATAGACAACAGGCTGCAACCAAAGAGTCACAAAAGGGCATACAAGCAAGCACTTCTACATGATTTCAGCTGTTTGTAACCGTTCATAGTTACAATTTCCTTTTTCTACAAGCTTGACTCTGAACACAGTAGAGGGGAACAACAGTTTCAACAAATGAACTTGGTGTTCTCTCGGGATGAGAAAACAATCAAGGAAACTCTTACAAACTGTGAATTTTGAGTGGGCTGCAGATGAGAAAAGCTAAGCAAGAACGTACTTTCCTGGTAAAAATAATCAGCCTCCATTTCTAAGAACAGCTGTAGCTGAAGCAAAAAAAAAGCAAGATACATTTTTGGCAGAATGTAAAATACACAAAAGCTTGCCTAATTCTATCTCCTGATTTCACATAAAACTAAAGTCCCTGGCTATTTGATATGAATAAAATATTCTGTCTCCCTTCCTGCAAGAATATAAGTGCTACTTTACATATTCTAATTAATCCCAAAGAAAGATTCAGTATCTTCCACCCACGGAAGTCTCTCTTTGTCCTGTATTTTAAAGGTAAGTTTATTTTCCCTCTGAATCCCCATTTTTTGCCCCAGCTGAAAAGGGAGAAGGGCTTTACAACGTTCACCAGTTGCTACATTTAGCTGCGTGTGGAACTCCTGACTGAGTATCAGGAAGAGGTAAAAATATCTTCCTCACTCATCCAACATACTACAAAATCTGTCTTCTGGGAGGAAGTGGATCAGCTGTTTAACAACACATAGCAATGCTACCCAAAGGTTTGGAGTAGAAAACAGTAGATCCTGTAATATCAATTTGGCAAAATAAGAATGATACTATTACAATCCAGAATTTGTGAAGTCCTCAGGGATATTAAAAGCTAAAAAGCACCACAGAAACATTAATAAAAGTAATTATAATATTTCCACAAAATTCCCAATATAGTTTGCCTCTGTAAAAATATCTGGCATATTAAGAAGCTTTTTATCCATTTCAAATGATAGCTTCATTACTGCTGTTTTTTCCGGTTCTTTTAAGCTAGCATGTTGAAAAAGTGCATGTTTTAACAGCCTATTCAATGTCGGTACAGACGAGGAAACAGATGCTCACCTGTGCTAGAGCTCTTTTGATGACTTTGCCAATGTCTTGTCTCCATTCAGGGATGTCAGGGTTATAGTAGTCCAAGTTGGGAGAAAATGACAGGAGCTGAGACTGGAAATACTCTGGAATAGAAAAATAGTATTCATGAGAAGATTAGATGGGCAGTGTTCAGAGTACAGCCAAGGGTGCAGAAGACAACAGAAAGACCATAATTAAATTATTTTAAAACAAGATAAAGAAGAAAAAGGGCTGGCTAGCACTAAGCAGGACAGAAAGCTTGCAAGGAAAGAATTCTTGTAATGGTTCTTACAAAGCACATTTTGCCCTAGTGCCAACTTGTGGCTTTTCTCAGAGGAAATGGAAGCAAGAATGAGAGAGGTGAGAGGATGCCTTCCCTTCATGATGCCTCTGGGCTTTGTAATTCTGTCACTCAACTTCATCAGATTCTGCTCACAAGGAAGTTGACCAGTAAATAAAGTGGCATCTGGCTGAAATTTGGAGGGTCTGTGCAGTTGCATGCACTGTGCTCTGCAGAACAAACACTCACTGTAAGGAATGTTTTCAAAAGCAGGTATTATCTATTTGTCTCCTGGAGGGAAGCAATGAGTGGTTAATACCCCAACAAATCAGAACCCAGTGGTGCTAATGACTGGCTAATCAAGCAATGTCTATTCATGAAACACTTTGAAATTACTTACTAATTGACTGATTTCAGGGAGGAAGAAAAACTTCCTAGACTTTTCAAATACTGAACAATTGAAATTTTTCTCCAATTCCAACTCTTCCCCCTGGTGTCACCACAGACCCAGACAGGAATCCTTATGACAACTGTGCACAATGGATTTGGGCCAGTGGGAGGGACAGATCCAGGATGGGAATCACATTCAGGTAAGTTGTCAGAGAAGAAGACTCTCCTTTCTGTTTTTGAAGATGTGCTGTGCCTTACCTTGAAGCACCTGATCTCCAGACACTTCAACCAAGTACCATTAATCATTTGTAAGAGGTACCAGTTTTAGATCAAGATAAACCAGCAAGAGTATAAATGAGGAAATCCACAGAATAGCATGGATGTGCCAGCACAGCACTTATGTTGCATCTTTTGCAAGATCTGTTCTTTCTTTTCAGATGGTGCAGTATATTTTTAAATAAAACAAGCATCAAAGAGAGCGGGGAAACTCTCCCAAGTTGGGAAGGCTAAACCCAGAGCCTGATATATAAAGCCTTTGACTTTTGAACCTTCAGTACCACGTCCAATTAATTTTTTGAGTAAATTCTGGTCTGTTAATTACAATTTGAGAAAATCCTGAATAAATCTCCTCCACTGCTACCACCAAAAAGCCATGCCTTCTTGCCTAAAGCCACAGTAACTTCCCACAGGACACAGATTAGGACACACATTCAGCAGAGCGCATGTTTACCAGAAGTGTCACTCATTAATGTCCTCAGACTTGAACTGATCACCACACTGGGGGTCTTGGAAGGGCTTCCTTAGACTAGGTCAGTTTGCAGTATGGCGCTGCATAGGACTATTTGGACATTCCAACTGGACAAAGCACAAAGCTTTGGATCTTTTAAATAGAACAGCAAAATTTCTCACAAGGTGTTTAAAAACAGAGTGAGGATAGCTCTGCGGGACCTACCAGAACCAATTATCAAGATCACTTGTGGGAACACCCCTCAAATATGTTTGATTCAGTTTTATTCCAGAAACTTGTGGAAAGTTGCAAGTTTCCCAGAAGCAAACACTGCAGTTTGCAATGCTCAAAATGATCAAGTAGAGGGTTACTTACATTTGTTAATAGTGAGTTTGGGTATTACTAAACTATATTAGCAGATTATTAAAACCCATTGCATTTCACAGTCAGGCAATCAATAAATATCTGATTAGGGGCTTGTTACATCTGAGCATACAGCTTTCCAGCCACCAGCAGGACATTTATTTATATTTAATTACTGAAACAATACACACATAGTTCAATCACTCATTGCAACCTGAGTTATTTGAAGCCCAGGTCTCTCAATAAAACTTGCTATCCAAAGAAAAGCTTGCCCTCAAATGCTGGATGCCAATAAATGGATAAGGAGAATGAAGACTAGCCCAGGGTGGAAACTATTCTCTGGAGAAAGAGAGTCCTGGCCAAAACTGCTGAGACCCCCTCCACTCAGCCTTTATCAAGCCCCAAACAGGGTAAGCTCTGTGGTCTGCTAAAGGGTGCTTTCTGGAGCCCATGATGTGCAGATATGGCAAGAACATACGAAACATTACCACAGGGAAGTCCAGTGGACACACTCAGACCTCCAGCTTTGACATGGAAGATGGGCAGAGATACCAACAAGAGAATAACTTCTGTCCCCTGTTTTCCAGACTCCTATCGTTTATACAGTCACTGTCTAAAGAGAAACACCAGCTGTATTCACCAGGCCACCTTAATGATGCACAGTGACTACTTCTTTCCACAGCTAGGAAGCAGAGGGAAGGCAGTCTGACTAGAGCTCTTAAGTGTCTTTTTTCTTTTGGGAATTCCCAGCCAGAATGTACAGACAGACCAACAGGAGGAGGAGACACCAGCCACTTTACAGTGCAGAGCTTACAAGTTTGGCTAGCCGCCCCATCCAATTCACTTCTGTGTTTTTGATCATGACATGTCTGAGCTACTTTGTTTAAAGTTTGTCTAGAGGTTTCTCCAGGCACGAGGGAGTTCACAGAGTTCATTATGGTTCATCAGCAACTGCCTGTTCTTCACCTCTAGATACCCCCTGAGATCTGACGGTAAAAGGCTGAGGTACCATGCACTGCGACCTCCTTGGTGTCTTGGATGAGGGTGTTGCCCGCAGCAACTTGCACAGTGACAGTGTTCATCCCCTCCACAGCGAAGATGTATGAGATGCTGCTCTCCAAGGTGATGAGAGGCTGGAAGAGGTAAACACAAATGGCGGTATCAAAATCAGGGTTAGATCAGCTCAGGATCACAATATGCACCTTCCTAATCCACCAGGCCATTATATCATTCCTCCCTGACACAGGAACGGTGCTCCAAGCTTGCATATCCTGCTAAGGACTAAACGTGGCCCAAACACCACCCAGTGAGAACAGTTCCATGGGCAAAGCTTTCTCTTGCTTCAGTAAATGCTTCCTGAAATATTCTTCCGCGGAACTGCGACTCATTATGCTACAAACACCTTAGCAGAGCTCAGTCAGCAATTGCAGAATGAGTGCTGCAGAAGCAGTGTTGTACACACACGCACATGATGCACACTCAGCACGGTTGCTGTATCACCTGTACAATACACAGGGTCCAGCTCAAACCAGCACTGAACATAAACCAAAGATGCAGATGCTTCTTCAAACAATCCAGATTGCTCAGATTCAGGGCCGGCCCTTGCTCTTATGAGAACAAATCCACCCATCTATCTAACTTTATCTCAGAGCAACTCTGCCCAGGACAGAGGGCACCCAGCATTGCCTTTTCCATGTTTTAAGCCTGTAAGCTAGCTCCAACCATAAGCTGATAACCCATGCTAAGAAGGCTGAAAGCATGGTACAATACCTGCTGACAATGCTTTCTGAATGTGGCTGAACTGTTTCCAGAGTAAAGTTGACCTGAATTTAGCCAGCTCAGAGCCCTGGCAGAGAAGGCTGACTTTTTCTGCACCTTCTCAAACAAAAATGTCCTTGATAGCACTACAGCTCTCCTCTGTGCACAGGAAACTCTCACATTGATACACATCTAGATGAGAAAAGTGCACAGTGTTTGGGAAAAGAGATTTGTATATTGAAAATCAAAGGTCTAGCCCTCGCAGGGCCATTGATCTGACAGCTGGTCTATAGACAAGTCTCTTGGTTTAGATTAAACCATTAAAATGGAAATAGCGATACTAGCCCCCATTGCAAAAGCACACAGAGGTCTAAGAGAACAAATAAAACCATTGTACCATTGTCCCTTCACTACACTATCAGTCTGTTTCCAGAGAAAAACCTCTACCCATTCACCTTCCAGCTCTCTCACGCTTCATCCCGTCAGACTGCCAACCTGCCTGCATTTCATGAGAAAGGCCATATAATGCCATTTTCATAGCCAAATCCAAATTTCCACTGGCATAAGCAAGACTGGCAAGCGCAGTTCCCTCCCTTCAGAATGCCACCTTCCTTTGACCCCCTCATCCGTGAGCTAAAAAAGCAGAGGGGGAAAAAAAATAAACCTGTTTGATCACATGTGACTCACAGACCAAGTCAGCAAGGCTTGTGCTAGCCCTGGAGGCCTCGCTAACACACACCTTAGATACACACACACATCCTAGACAGGCAGAACTATATCAAACTGCAGTAACATTAGCAACCTTCCTGGAGGTTACACATTGTGGTTCTGTGCAAAGGTAGATAAAGAGCAACCAATCTAGCCTTTAAAATTACAATTTTTCCTTTTTTGTATATGTGTATGCTGTACATTCCATTATCATGGATGATTTCACCTCCATCATGGAGTTTTAACATTCACCCGACTCTTTAATTTTAATTCAAGCACCAAGACCTGGAAACTAATTCTAAATTAAATCAAGTAATTTAAGGTTCATTTGCTCAAACCTATTAGACAGCTGGACACATTTATTAAAATGGACCTGTGTTAATCCAAGCAAATTGGCCTTTAGGTATGCTGCAAAAATTAGTACAGCAGAAATTCAGTACAAGGGTTCCAGCAGGGTGGGGAGGGCAACAGAAGAGCCTCAGCCAGATCATTTGAGTCTAAGACAACATTCGTCTGTGCAGCGGCACAGAGAGTACCTGAGTGAGACTGCACAGTGACACAAGACACATCTGGCTCTGCCTGGGATGCCTACAGGCTGAGCAGGAAAAGATGCCGCAATCCCTCAGCATGAAACTAGAATATATCACCTAACAATACCAGTCACTATGCACAATATTACACTCCTCATCCTTCAGTTCACACACAAATCAGGGTCCCCATCTTCCACCTGTTCTTACTGCACCACAGTTTGCCCATGAGTGGGCACAGAGAAGGATCTGACATGTATGTTGACCATCCCAGAAGGAATTCTGATGTGATGCATCTGTTGTCCTGAAAAAAAAAAAAGGTGGCTGCTGCTGTTATAGATATATCCTTTGCCATATTTCCGTCAGAGTTGAAGCACATTTCATGAGGTAGCTGGACATAATGCTTTGCAAAGAATGAAAGGTTCTCTGGGCCTTTGATTTGGCCACAGGGAAGTGGCACCATCTTTACTAATCCACACCTCAACATATTTCAGCAAGAAGTACAACCACCCCAAGGTATCATAAGGATCAGCTACTTCATGTGCAGCTGTGTCCAAAGCAACCAACCTATATGCATCCATCCCTGTTTGTACTCTGTTGCCTATGGGTCTGAAATTTAAGCTAGAAGATAAAACAGACCATATTTACAACCCAGATGCAAGCACAATGAGAGCTGCATGGAAATCTTCAGCAAACACCACTGCTTTGCTCTACCTTTTCTAGATTACTTTCTATTTCAAAAAAAAATGTTTTTTTAAGGCCCTGTTCACAACCAACTTCTATATTAAGGACAAAAACAATGTCAGGAAAACTCTGACACCTGGGTACACTGGAGGGCTTAAGCAGCTGATCAAGTTACCAGTACCTAAATTGTCTCAGATATACTTCAATGGCTGTCCATGTGTGAGCACTGAGCCAAAAATAGCTGAACTGTAACGTAATTTTGCATCCCTCTCTTTCAGTGTGGTACAAACTACATGGAATTAGCTGGTACTTGTCAGAGACTGGATGTGTGTAATGTGGGTGGTTGCCATAGCTCAGCTAGGTCACAGTAGCTTGCCAAGTTACAGTCAGTGTTTTTTGTTCCTGAGCTTTTCCGGTGCCTCAATTATGTTTCCACAAAAATAAGTGAGTTCTTACAGTAAGCTTCCTAACTTGATGTAAAATCCCAGTAGACATAGCATTTACTGTTGTTTTTTTTCTCCTGCTACTGTTGGTAGCTAAGGTAAGAGGTTAAAACGCAAGCAGCTTTGTCAAAGACAAAATAAAACCCTCATGTGCCTGCTATTTTTTATCTCAAGTTCCATATTTCATGTAAAATCCCCACTGTTTTCTACTGTGATCTCACCTCAGTGCACACTTTCAATAACATAGACAATGATGTGGCTTAAAACTGCTTTTGTAAATAACAACAGACACTACATTCCAAAATCATCAGCTGTACATTTCCTAGATGTACTAATGGAGGACAGTGCCTGTGAGTCAGCTGTCTCACTCCTAAAGCCTACGGTAAAAACTGTAGCTAATAAGCAATCCTGCTCTCTCCATTTGAAAGCATGACCGCAACCTGTAGTTTCACTTACTTTAATTATTGATAAAAAAGCTCTTTATAATAATTTTTTGACAATAATTTGAAAATTCACTACAAAGTCTCGTCCCCCTCTCTAATATAGCCAAGACCGTTACCAATAGTCACAGACAGACACGAACAATTCATTGAGAGTCTGGCCTGAAATTCTAGATACAACTGGTTATTTGAACACCAACAGATTTAAAGTATTGTGCTGGAATCCAGCATTATACACTACATACTGGTACATAATGGAGCCCCCATGGTTATTTGAACACCATCAGTTCTTAAACACTATGTTGAAAACCAGCATTGTCCCATATATAGTGATATATAATTCAGTTAAGTTGCAAGTGAACACTAGTAATAACAGTGGTCTCCAAAGCTCAGTAGGGCTGGTAACAACTAGATGTAAAAAAGTAATGACTCCTAAGAACAACACGAGGCAGGAGGAAATAAACTCACAAAGGTTGAAGTTCAGGTAATAACAACCCTTTTTAGATAAGGAAAAAACTAAAACACAAAACAAGCAAAGGCAAGAAGTTTTTATTAGGGCTGAGGGAGTTCCCTGTCTGGTGCAACAAGCTTAGGAAGTAAAAATGAAGCAAAGGGCAGCTGTACCTTGGTGCTGTTGCCAAACCACCAGAAGTAGGTAAGTGTGCCTGCCTGGCTAGGCCAAACTACTGCAGTGATGTTGACGTCCTTATTTCTGATGGCGACAAAGGGGACACTCAGGTGGACGTGTTCCAGTGGGCCTGTGGGAAGAGAGAGTTCATTATTAGAGGCTTTGAGTTAAATCCTCTCTGCGCAGTTATGAAGAGCAAGGATCTTTCTTTTAAATAAATCAAATGTCTTATGTCAGCAGTGAGACTCTATCATAGCAATACAAGAGAATTTCATCAGTCAGTAAGCAACAGAAAAATATATCAGATTAATAAACATAAAAACGCACCTTTTTTTTCTCACTCTTTATTCTAGGGGAGCCAGAAATCCACATTTTCAACAGTGCTAATTTCAGACAGGGTCACCACTGTGTTTAGAATTTCTTTTACGCAGTTTGAGGGACAACAATGAACTGGCTTTGCATTGGACAGGGCAAGCTGCTATTGAAAGCTTGGGGGACAGGACAAAAGAGAGAAGGAAGGTGTTTTCTTGAAAATGTATCCACTGAGCTACTAAGATTTGTAGGAAAATCATGTTAGCCAAGACCACTTGAATCTGATTATATATGAGGCATTTATGGCAGTTTTTTAGAAGATCTCCAAAAGAAAGATTCATTATTTTGGAAATCCATGGTATATTTTGACTTTGGCCTGACTTTGAAAAGTCTTTGGGGAGTCAGTTACCACTAGCAAAAAGTCAGGAACTACTTGAAAGATGTGTGCATTTGGATATCAAAGCATTGAACTGTCAGAAAACCTTGTTTCTGAAAGACTTACAAAATAACAAGATATCAATGCAAAATGTTGTCTAATAAATTCAAATGTCCAGAATGAGTCCAGAGCATGAAGTCCAGAATTAAGAAGCCAGTTCCTCTCCAGAAGAAACAGCATGTTTAAAAAATAATGAGGTTTTGTTTGCTAGTTTGTTTAAAGCTTTTACTATCTCTACTGTTTTCCTTCTTGTTTAGTTTTTTGGTTTTACTGGTACTGGATTTCAGCTGATAACTGCTGCACATCAGACAGTGTTACTGAGTCTTTCTGGATGGTACTTTTTAAAGCACAGAAAACTGACAGACTATCACTGTGAGAAGGAAAGGATGATATAAGAAAGAAGTGAGATTTTTTTTTTTATAAGAATTAATTCTAGGAAGCAGGAAATTCGCTGATTTTAACTGAGACGATCTTCTTGTATTACCCCTCAGCTCTTCAAGCATGAAATGGGGACATTAATCACTTCTCCACCTACTTGGATAACAAAGCTTCTGAAGAGCAAGAGCTGTTCTTTTACCACCAGAATATACAGCTCCAAGCACAATGGGACACTATTCTTGCTTTTGGCTCCTTAAAACTTGTTCTTTTTTTTTTTTCCCCCCCTTTCCTAAAGGGTCTCTACAGCAACTCACTCTGGAACTCTGCCCATAGCAAGTACTCTGGGTTCCCAAGAATAGCAGGTTCCCCCAAATCAAATATTTTATGACAGTGCACATAAGATGAAAACCCCTAACATCTTAATTTCCTTTAAATGAAGAGATGAGCAGCCTGACAGCAGATTCCAGGAAGGTGAAAAGTTGACTGACACTTATAAAGGTGCAGGGTAGAAAACTACTGTCGCTTGAGGCCAAAGAGCTTCTTTCTCCCTTTTCTTCAGCACAGGATTCCAGCACCAGATTGTATAATAAGGGTGATTTATACAGCAGGCATTTCTGTCTGCACACTTGAGCTTCAAGGTCAAACCTGTTATATTGACTAGTACCTCCAAATATATTAAAAATCTAGTACTGAGGTATCATCTTATTTCAGTGTTAGCATGAATGTAAATGCTTGCAAAATATTTCCTTAGAGGTAACACTAGTAAGTTGGCCAGCTAAGGGTGCTATAAAAGTCACAGGAGTGATCTGAGAGACTGAGAAGAGCATAGAGTACCACAACCAGGCCAAGCAACTGCCCCTCGTTGCATTCTGCTCTAAAATCCTCACCATGAAAAAGCAGTTCCTAAGAGAAAAATCAGATAATCCATACAAAGCTGGTTGTTATTACCAGGTAACCATCACTTTTGTCGGCTAATGGCCCAAGGTGGAAGAAAAAACAGTTAATACTCTAATAACAGGTTGTTAAATGGAGCCATGATTGACTTTGAGGGAATTATGAGCATAATAAAAGCTTCAAGGAACATTTATTCCTTCATACAGGGAGCCTGAAATTAAAAAGAAGAAAAAAGTTCTTGAGTTTTGGAAATTTCTGACTTGCTTCCTTCCAGCAGAAAAGCTCAAGTAAAAGACAGACAAGCTAGAAGACATTCTGAGAGGCTAAGGGGAAAGACGGACATGGCTGTGAACATCATTAGGGGCAAAACCAATGATGTACACCTGAACACAGATGGAGTGCTCTGCCCAGGAGATCTAGTAGTCTGAGAGCAGGACAAAAAAATTGGGTTCTTCCTGGTCCCATCATGTATTCCACACCCTCTGCTCTCTCCTGTGGCTTTGAGAAAGGCAGCTGGAGGCTCTATATTTGAGTCTGCTCATGTGCCAAGTGGACAGAAATTGCATTGATCTACCAAACAGGAGGGAAATGTCAGGGATGCACGTCAAACACATGAAATACGAAAAGTAGCACCTTAGCCCTCAGTACATTCATATCCCAGGGCGTATGCTCAGCATAATGCTTTTATTTAATAAGCACTGTAAATTCACAAATTCTGAATAACTGACTCAAAATTTAGTAGATTAATCTAAACCTCTTGGTATTAGAAGTGTATTGAAAACTCTTCAATGGAGTTTACTTAACAAGATGGAAGAGTGTCTAAAAGTCCAAGCCTTTGGAGGAGAGTGAGCTGCCTATGTAGATGGGTTTGTATTCTTAGGCCCTGCTGAAGTTGCAGGGATTTTCAGTGAGGTCAGGTTTTCATACAAGGAATCTAGCAGCAGGATGTACTTACAGACCACATGCAGGAAGAGGACAGCAGTGTCAGAGCCCAGGCTGTTCTCTGCATATGCTGTCACCTGAAAGATTCCAGCACTCTTATACACATGCCGAATGCCATCCTCAACAGGGCTGAAATTAGCATAGGATACTGCAATGCCATCTCCAAAATCAAGCTGAATGTTTGTCCTTTGGAGATCACCCTGCAACAGAGAAGTTTGGATTAGGAAACTGGGCTGATGAGAGTGATTTATATTACCCTCCATCCCACTTCTCAGTTCCATTTCATGAGCATGGACACAACTCACAACTTTACCAAAAAAAGCCTAGCTTTGTTCTGTCAGTCCCCGAGGTGGCCAGCCTCAAATCAACACTAGGTAGTTATATACAAGCAATGTTTAGAATAGCTGAATATTTACACCTGCAAAGAGATGTTATTCCTCCGTCTTGGTTTGAGAGATTTGGGAGGGCAGAGTGCCAAACACACATATATCAAGGGGACCATATTTGAATCTTTTAATTCATGGTTGGGGATTATGTGTCACTGAAGTGGCCAGGACTTTGCAGAGCCTTTCATTGAATGGATGGTGTCCAACAATTACCTCCATCAGAGGCAGTGAGATGGAAGGCACTACAGTGATGGTAGGCTAGATGCTAACTGGATGGCAATTCCCATGTGCACATGGGAGCATTGGGAAAACACTGGAGACAGGACAATTGTTGAAGTGGCTCTCCAGTACATTCCAAAGAAACAGAACCTAGACAGCTAGATGCTGTAAGTCTAGTCTAAACTAGTTTTCCAGGCTTTCTGGGTAGTCCGAGAGAGAAAGAAAGACAGCAAGAGACCAACACATCCCATCCTAAGACAAATGAGACAGGTGACATGAAATAATCTTATGCAAATATCCATCCCTGTACCCTGATGATAGAGAGTCTAGATGACTAGTTTCAGCTACACATGTAACTTCAGGATGGCCGAATTTGTACAGGTTGAGTCCCACACTGAGGATGGACAGTTTTTGTCTAATTTAATCGGTCAACACAGAGATACGGCCTGGATTCACAGGAGAATGAAACAGATGACGATAAAATCCCTTCTGGGATTACTGTCAATAAAAGCTATTAAACAAAGGAGGGAACAACAGAAGAGAGATTCCAGCATTGCAGGTACTGTCCAGAGGCAGCAGCTGCACCGTTTTAATTTAAATCACGCTTTAAAACACTGTAGTTGAACTGTAAAAGTGTCTATTATTTCTGTTTCTTGAAGCCTTTATACTTGTCCCTAGCTGAATAAAAATAACACAAAACAAGGCTAATTTAAACAGAGCTAAAGCCCACTGCAGTGATTGCACTAAACTGAAATAAAACTGTGCCTCTGATTAAATCTCTGTAGCTTTCTGCACATATAGAATTTGTATACAAAAGTAATTTCCTTTCATGAAAGGTCTCCACTGTATTGACTATGGATGAAGATAACACTGCCTTTTGGAGATGCTCCTAGCCTAAAACTGAAACCAATACCCAGATACATTGAGGATAAGGGTGAGATTCCAAAGAGGAAAAAAAAAAATTAAAACCCCTGCTCCTAAATTTAACTGTTTGTTTTACATAGGAAATTCTGAAATATTTCATGGCCATTTCATAAACCCCATCACAGCTGTAAACACACAGGGTCAGGATCAAAGCCAATGTGCAGTTCCAGTACACACTGATCTAAGGGAGGGAAGCAACCATGTAACTCACAGCCAGTTCTGTTGTACCTCCAATCCCTCCACAGCCAGCTCAGATCCGCAGGTTCTGAGCTCACTGTGGCTTCACTGGGCTCACTGAAAAAGACCACTGAACTCACAGATTTCACTAAAGCCTCTGGGTCAGGTATTGCACAAAACAAACCATGACTTCCTAGAAAAATTGTGCAGGTCAGTCAAAGGGAAAAGATTGCTTGGGACAAGCACATCTGTGACAGACCCTAAAAGTTTTCGAGCTGGCAGCACCACCTTTCCTCTGAGCAATAACTTTCAAGTTTACCTGCGTGTGGCAAAACACATGGCTTGCAGTATAAATTCTGATTGTGACCCTCAGGTCTGTGATTTCATCATATGGTCTGAACACATTCATACATAGAGCAGATACATTTTGGATCATGACTCCTTACCATCCCAGAACAGTCAGGATAAAGACAGAATATTGGCTGGGTCCTGGAAAAATTGGTCCTTAAATCAGGATTAAATATCTCACAGGTTGTTCTAACCCAAATGACCAGCAACTCAGACAAAAGGTGCACAACAAAGGCTCCTGAAGAGATAGAAACATCTACAAAAGGGAAGGAGTCCCAGCTCTTGCCCTCCACCAACTCCAAACTCACGGGAGCTGCTGTCATTCTGGCAGTTGCCATCATACTGTGTTAGTGGCAACTGAAGTACTGACACGGGCAGGATCCTGTGTTCTGCTACTGGTCCCAGTCCTGAAGGTGCACCTGATCTTGTCCCTTTGGCTGGAAGCCTGTGAGCACAGACAAGAAGCCAGACTCCACTGAAGCAGGTCCCCTGTGTAGATAATCAGGAACACGGCATGCCCCACAGACTTCGTCTTCCTCATAGGCTATGTCTGCATTAACAGATCAGTGTGTAGTAAGGGTATTTTTCAGATGTGAATTTGCCTTGAGTATATACTTGGAGTCTTCAGATCCACACTCATATAAACAGGGTTATTATATGTAGTTTTTGAAATATGGATATCTGGTTATATATGTTAGATCTCTCTCCTTCCTCGCTTCATCATTCCCATTCCACAGGAGCCAGAGGAGTTCTGTCTATTGACTTGATCAGCGCACCCTTTTCACCTCTGTCCTACTAGGACATTAAAAATAAAGTATAAACCAAAAAGAAAACATAGAGGACTAGAGTGGTCCTCTAAACCTATCTATAATATTGAGTAGCCAATAACATCCTTTTGACAGAGAGTTTTTTAAGGCACTCTGAAAAATTCTCTAGCAGGGGCAAAATTACACTCTTGGGGTATTCAGTTATTTGACAGAAAGGCTCTCAAAGCTTGTTAAACCTTTCAAAACCGCTTCTCAAGGGAATGTACTAAGACTACAAGTTCATTTCATATGGACGATACTGAACAGAGGATAAAAATTTGATCTGGGCTGGATTCATCACTGGTGACCTCAGGCTGAAATCTCTTGCACCCATCATGGCAGTTCCTCTCACATGCCTTAAAATTCTCTTTTCTATTTTCTCCTTGCTTCTCCAATATGATTGTATCTGAAATTAGAAGGTTCGAAGTGGATAAGCAGGAACACATTTTTCCTGACTAAACAGTAGCAGTTCATCTTTCCACCCAATTACGGGAGTTGGGTCTTCAATGCAAAGCCTGCCCATCACACTAATCATGTTTTCTTTCTCCTTTCCATACCTCTGTATCCTGTATATAAAATACTAAAACAAGTGTGTTAGCCCCACACATGATGTCAGATATTCTGAAGTTTATGAACAAAAATTAAAATAGAAAGGAAGCAGAGGCATTTCAAATGGCAAAATGTCATTGCTCTCCATGTGCACTCAAAAGGCACGTTTTACTGCTTTAAAGCCCCCTAAACTACAAAAAGGGAACAAGCTAGGGCCTGTCACAAAGAGTGGAGCTCTGCGCACTGAAATCAGTGAGCAGGCAAAGGGCAGCTGAATGGGTGGAGTGCAGTATTGCCGTGGAACAGCCCTTCAAAGTCATCTCCCCATCAAGACTCACCTGGGGAAGTTTTCCTGCCTGGAAACCACACTAGCCAAGTGACAAAAACTGTAGAGACAGAACAGTGATTGAAATTTTGGCCCTCTGAAGTTAAGACCCAAACTCCCACTGATTTCAGAAGGGCTCTATTCCATTCAACATATTCTTGGGGCAGGGGGGAGAATAATGTATATACATTATGTATTTTGGGTCTTCTGATGAAGCTCTCAAACTGTTTGCATACAAATATGACATAGATGTGGCTATCTCTTTCTATAAGCACAGTTTAGCAATCTTCTAACAGATGTGTGGAGCTCCAGTACTTGCTCAGGTTTGTTCTTTGAACAGTCACTGCTTGCCTTCTCAGCTCACTTACAATTACAACCCTGTTACAAAACCTTGTAATTACTGAAAGAGGGAAGCTATGAGATGGCATAAACAGAAGACAAGGGAACAGAACAGTTCAGTAACTGGAGCTGCCACATAAACAACCATTTAGGCCTGAGGGGAGTTTAAATACCCTTCAGAGAGGAGGTAGGGATGCACGGAAAAGATCAGGTGCAAAACCAGATTCATAGATCCGGTGAAAAACTCAACTCCAGACAACAGCAATCTGGGATTCTGTTATCTCTTTGTGCTCAAACTCAGATTAAATAAAAAAAAAAAAAGTTAAAAAAAGGTTCTTGTTTCCTCCTGTTACCTTGCACGTATACACAGTCCAAATCACGGTCCAGCCCCATATTTCTAAAAACACAGCAAAATCATCAAGCATTCTTTGTCTCCTGTCATGGGCACACACATATTCTGAATTAACACTGTGAACAATACTACTAAAGCTAAAGCTATAAATCCAGAAAAAATTAGTTTTCAATTAATTATGATAAAGTCTTAATTTACCATTGGACAGTACAAAGGTCAGTCACACCAATATATTGAGGGTCTGTACTAGAAGGTAGAAAGGAACTCATGGCTGATGGCTGATCATGAAATTGCTGACTAGGGTTAGTCTGAAACAGCAGGAAGGCTGAATGGAGACCACACAGATGTATGTACAGGAGAGCTTGTCAGACTGCTGTTTGGCTCAGAAAGTGAGCATAGACATAAGTGCAAAACAACCCACCAGAGGAGACGGAGAGAGGCAGGAATGAATGTGTATGCCAGCAGAGTATGCAATAATTAAGTCTTCTGCAGAAATTATTTCTTACATCTAACAAGGAACACTTTAATGACAATTCATTTTTGTCAGGTTCACACTGAAAGACTGGAACACTTTTGCTCAAAATCTCTGTGGTTTGCCTTTTTTTTAATCTCTTATTTTAAGAAACCCCACACACAACTCTCTGTGGAATAAGCTGTTCACCCACAAAGACATGTTCTCGAAAATCCTCTTCCCTTAGAAAAAAAAACTGTTTCAATGAAATGTTTTTCTAACTATCCTTATTTTTCAATAAAGGACATAGAGTGAATGCCCTCACATATTTATTCAGCTGCCTCTTCAATCTCTAAAGCTTGGTAAAGACTCCAGCCTTCAGCTACCTTGACTGCTGCCTTATTCCTCATCTGTTTATCATTCTTTGTATGCAGCAGTTCTGCTTGAGTTCCTTAATAAATTGCTACTAGATTCCTAATTTTTAGATTATGTCTGTGCTTTTCTGAACTCCCACTCACAGTGTCTGTACAAATCGTCTTACCTTGTCAAGTCTGCAGAATCTAAAATAATCAGCCAGGTAGACAAGAAATCCCCTTTGTATAAAAAGCTGAGCATGCATGAACCTCTAAGGAAGCATGTAAAGAGGCTCTGTCAGATTAGTATGGTCCCAATGAAACATTCAGTTATTGTATAAGAATTTAAAGTAATAGAAGTGTGTGTTTAAAAAAAAACAAAAAACACATGGTATCATGAGAAAATACGCCTTCATGGTAGTATGCTCAGATTTACAACAGTTTCTTGTATTTTTGAAGGTCCAAGTTTCCAACAGAGGCTACTCCTGAGACTGGGAGGGGAAGGGACAGTAGGCTTGCACTGTTTCTAATACGCTTTCTCCAGAGATCTAATGCTGCTTGTTGTCAGAGCAGGATACTTAGGAGACAGGCATCTGGTCTCTCCTGCTGTCACTGTTCTTATGTTCGTGACCACGACATGTCTGGCTCCCAGCTGTCTCCAGGTACTGTCCCAAAATGAAGTACACAGGACAGAGCAGACGACAAAATGTACTTGTAGTTGTCCAACACCAACCACATCACTCCCTGGATGCACCTCCTGAGACATGCAAAGATGTTAGAAGTGAGCTTGTGAGCTGACCCTTCTGTTTAACAAGGAAACAGATGTAATACATTGTGGGAAAGTCACTGTTGGACCTCCAATGACACCTTCCATGGGCAGTCAGAAGCCAGCAGGGGAATGCACCAGCTGCAAACACAGCAGGGCTCTCTGTGCTGCAGTCACGTATATCCCTAAACACCAAATCAAATCACAGACCAGAAGGGGCATAAGATCATTTGGAAAACCCTCCTGTCATCCTGAACACTTACCAAGTGCCTTCCTTAGCTATCCAACCCTTGGTGACACAGGATGCACCATACAAGTTTGCCAAACAGAGGGGTACCTGACTCAGAGAGACCAACAGAAGTGCCTCAATATTTTGATGCTTCGGGCACCAGCAGGCCTGCTATCACTACTGTTGACTACAGAGGGAATCGTACCAATAAATAAATAAAACAGATATGGGCTGGGGAGCTGAGAGGGGGTTTGAGGAGGTTCAGTTCCTACTGCAAAACAATAATGTCTCTCACTGCTCCCCGGGAGTCTGAAAATGTTCCCCTCTGTTCTTAACCTTTACCAGCAAAGCTTCAGCTAAAGCTTTTCATCCCAGAAAGAGAATTACTATGCACAGAGATACCATTTCTGCCTCACAAACTTCGTAAACCACAATTCACTAGAAGCAGAAAGAAGCTGATGGGGATATATATTTTTGACCAGATCTATGTTTCTTCAGTGTTGGCATCATCATCCCCGATAGACAAGATAACTGTCCAAATACTCCTTCGGCTTGACCGAATATGATTTGTATGTATGTTTCATGTATATCGCTCTTTCATTAATTCTCTTCAATCTCAGGAGCATTCATCATTTCAAGACCCCACCTGATCGCTATTTTCCTCTCAGCACCCTGACAGGTGAAGGAAAAAGAATGCCATTCGTGCCACACAGTGAAAGGTTTGCTGAGACCACTAACACACCTCTTCCATAAGGATGATGAAGGTAGCATTGCGTCCCTGCTCCATAATCAACTTTCCATCACTAGTGAGGATGTGCAGTCCCCGAGGAGCTTTTCCAGGGCATTTCTCCCTCTTGGCCTTGTACTTCTCTCGCAAGCCATCTGTGCAGTTGTTAGACACAATCCTTCGGTACCTGGGGAACAGTAACAAAAGATCGGGCTCAGGCAGTGGGCAGAAAAGTTTCTTTGTTTTGTTTTGTTTCTCCATATTAATGCGTGTGTTTTTTCAAAGGTTAACTGCCTGCATGATTCCCTCACTGAAAGGAAGAATTAAAGAAACCTAACATTTTATTGAGTAGGAGAAAGCCAAACAAATCACAGTCCAACCTTCTCCAGAGATTCTCAGCAGCATCACTGAGAACAGACACATTGTGGAGGTGAATTACTCTGCACTGCTAAAAGGCAGAGAACTCCCTCAACTCCCCATGCCTGTAGGATTGCCCCCTGCATCCCAGCTTTTTATTTATGCTTTTTATTACATTTTGCCTGCCTCTACTCTGCTAAAAGGCACTTGGAATGATCTGCAAGAGCTTTGTCCTGTTCAATTTTAAAGTGATTCAAGGAATAATTTTTTCTCTTGGCTCTTCTTGGAAGAGCTTGGCTAACTAGCAAGACACTTGGCTATTCCAGTGTTGCTGAGGGTCACTAACTCTTTCTAGTAATTTCACAGTAAAAATACAGGATTGGTTAAGAAGACACAGACCTCAACTATTTTCTTGCTCTCTGTCAGGAAGGCTACAAGGAGTCCTACTGGCCAGGGCTCCTGTAATTACATCCCATACTTACAGCAGCCTTTCAGCTGAAAGGGAGTCTCTGAAGCTAAATGACTCCAG